CTGCTCTGTGCTCGCTCACTATCGCAACCCCCCGCGGACACTGGTAATGGAGTGCGGGTGCTGACTTACTGCTTCCAAACAAGATTTCCTGAGATCCTTTGAGTCTGCTCCATTCCCCCCCCCCTTCCTCTGCTTTTCTCTCTCTGTCTCTCTCTTTTTGGAGAGTGGAGGGGAGCCTCTATAAATGTGAAAGGAGCTACACTACAAAGAATCCCCCGAGTGGCATATCCCAGCCCCGGGCGAAGCTGCTCGGTGCACTGATAGTCCTGCGTATCTGCTCCAGGACTCCTCTCTTTCTCTTCCCCCTCCCTCTTTCTCTGATCAATCAAGGGCTGTAATCAGTTAAGGTCCAGCTTAACTGCAGTGTAAGATACACCAGTTAAGCAAAGCCAATGCCTCCAGGGTTCCCATCGTAAATAGGGAGAGGTCATGGGGAGATGAAATAACCCTGATAAGTTCAGCAAGTGCAGGGCTCGCACCAAACACTTCATAACTCGAGCTGGCAAAAGAATGGAAGAAAGGGAAAATCACAAGCCCTTCCTATTGCCAGCTCCTCGGCTGCCTGTTTGCTTGCTCTCTGTTCCCTGCTTTCCCGGGGTGGGGAGGGAGCTTGATGCATTTTTTAAGGTGAGGGTTTCTCTTTTCAGCTCACCCTAATGCACGAACAACCCAGACCCTGGTCCTTTCTCTGCGCGTCTCAGCTCAGTTTGGATCTTCTGAGGCTGCCACAGGGATGAATTTCTAAAATGAGGGCCTCTTTTCCCCTCCCCCTTAGGAAAATCACAGCTCCTGAATCCAAGGAAATGCCTTTTGCAGCCCTACAATGGTGCCATGTGCTGGTCCTCGGGCTTCCCTCTGCTGCCAGGGAGCACTGGGGTGTTTTCAAAGGCAGGGAGCTGCTTGCTTGCACCAAACATGAACCCCAAAACCTTCATGAGATCAGATCTTGGGGATAATGGAGCTGCACCCACCAAGGTGTCGAGTCCACTGGTGAGGAGGCATGAGTGTGAGCAAATAGGAGAAAAGAAAAGAGAAGAAAGTGGGGCTCCTTGCTGAAAACACTGGCTTTGATAGAGGATTACCCTTACAGCTGAGACGTTCTAGCTCAACAACCTCCTCCCCTGTTTTGCTCCTTAGTAAGGCTTTTCCTTTCTCTCCAGAAATGTCCATTCTTAGAGATGGTCCAGGGAAAAATGAGCCCTTTATATTCATTATCTGAAATCACCTTTACACTAAGTTCATGCTGTGCTGGATCCAAACAGCTTACAGTTTCATCAAGCACTTCATGAAGAGAAGGGGACACCTGGACTGTCGAGGGGACTTCAGTGGGCAGGACAAGCTTCTCCCTGCTCCAATTTCTGAAACCACAGAGCCCATTTCTGCCCCTCGGATGTGAGAAATCTGGCAGGATTCGATCACCATCAAATCTGCACCCAAATTCTACCTGCTCTTAATCCCCAAACTCGTGACTTTAGCTCAACACAACATGATGGATCCAAATACCACTGCGTCAGCTCCCGTCTAATTGGCCATTGGCCCACTAGGCATTACAGATAGGGGAAAAAAAACCATGTAGGATTTATTAAAAACGATGCAGACACACAAAGAGCAGAACAAAATCTTTAACCAGAAGCGATAAGAAACCCCTAAAGGATTTGAGTTTAGATAAGTATCCCTCTTTGAGTCCTCCAGCTCTTTAAAAGCTGTTTGGGCTGGAGTTTTCCTGTGGTGTTATAGGTGCTTACTTAAGCAGGGGATGAGATTAATTCTTCTCCGGGTATTTTGGCCCTCCTGCACCTGGGGTCTGCCGAGGAGCAGCACAAACCTCAATAACTTAGCAATGATTATTTGAGTAGCCATCACTAACACATCCAGTCTTTGAGCAATAAAGTATAAAAGTAGAAAGAAGCTCCTGGGCTAACACTTCATTAGCCACGTTTCCTTATTTGTCTAGCACAGTTTTATTTTGTCTATGTCTGAAGGTACTCCAAACTAAAATCCTTTTTAGAATTATAATATGAAGCCACCGAGAAGTGATTTCAAGCATCAGAGTAGCGAAGTGCCTATTTTTAAAACCTTGCTTTTCTCCTGAACGTCGTCTACTGCCTTGAACAAAGTGATTTTTTAAGGCAGAAGAGATCCACTGATGAGAGGTAGCTGTCTGCTGGCAAAGATGTGTCTGTGCTGAAGGGAAGGGTCTTACCTCATTACAATTAAACCTCTTCCAAACAAAAATAGTGATACATTTACTAAGTGGGTACAGAATCCAGCGCACGGCTCACGCTCCTACACAAATGCAAGCCAAGAACTTTCTATATTAACCCCACAACTCCTGGCTGAGCTACAAGCTCTCTATGATGAGCAGAGCTTGATCAAAAAGCCTCCAAAAAAATGGCAAATCCTCTCATTTGCTGAGTAGAGCCGTGCCCCCGGCCTGTCCTCCTCGCTGCAGGAGGGAAGGGATCGCACCCTTGTGTGACTCGAGTGGAGTTTGTGCGGCGTCTCCTGCGTGCAGAAGTTTAAAAGCACACAAGCCGGTGCTGATCCAGAGATAAATGGTGGAAAAGGGATTAGAGATACTTAGCGGAGGAGAGGGAAGACTCAGGAAGGGCTGATTATTTTAAAGATATGACTATTTAAAGATAATGATTGCATAAATTTAATTAATGCATTTTCATGCTGCAAATGGCCGTTTTGTAATTAATGTATCTGGCCTCGCTAAGCATGGGAGATCACATCTCCCAGCCCCCCCCTCCCTTCTCAATTCCCCCCCTCCGCCTCTCGTTTAATGAAAGACAGAAAGCAGATGACAGAAACAATTTGTCAGCCAGTACGGGTGTCAGATGCCTAATTGGTTGCGCTGAGTTAGTGGAAAGTAAAGGGGGAGAGGGTCGAGGCTGGGGGGGCTCTTTCCTCTTTATCCGAGGCTTCAGGGTTGGTG